TTTTTGGAAAACTTCAGTTCTGTGTTTAAAATTCTCTGGTGTAATAACAAACCTGTGGTCTTGTTTCATATTATGCATAAAATAATTAGAAACTGTGACTTTGTTTTTAAACGGAGAAGCGTTTCTGTTATTCGAACACTTGGTACTCAAGCGTTCCATTATTCAAATATCATCATTTCTCTTACGTTAATATCGTACGATTCAAATTCTAAATAATTTTTCAATTCTGATACTCTCCTTGTAAAATAAAATAATTTTTGTAGGAAATAGTTGTTTCCCAGAGCAAACCTTCTTGTCATAAAATTAACTATTTCTTGCGTTTTACTATTTCTACCGTAGCATTCCTTGCTCTTGTAATAAATTCACGCTATATGATAAATGTGCAGCGTCTAGTATTTTCCTTTGCACGAAAGTGTCTGTTTTCTGACATTTAATTCAATATGATTAATATGACCGATAGATGTTTATGCAAAGTCAGTTTTTAATAACGTATGCAAAGAGATAGAATCTAAATGAACATTTACTCGTTAAATATTATTACGAGTGCTATGTTCCAATATTTTATACAGAGTTTCCGGTTACGTAGGAAACAAAATATGCAAATTATTGGAAAATTATAAACTGTATGAAAAAGCGATTCAGACAAAAAGCGAATGGGTTCAGAAGGGCATAATTTCGTACAATTAGCTTTTTAATTAGCCTTTTTGGAAGATGCCTAGCTACAAGTTATATGAAACTGACATCAATGTTTACGTGACATTTACATTTTTTAAAACGAGATCATAATATTTTTAATACAGTAAATCGATCCGTCTCGGTCCTCTCCCCAAAAAGAAAATTCAACTTGTTTATGTCTAAGAGCTTAGCAAATATTCTATCTTTACTTTGTCAAAGTTAACGTATGGAAGACAAAGACGACGCGAACCTAAGAACTCCACCTCTCGCCGTTCCTTGTCTTTTATACGTTAAATCTAACAAATGAAAGTATATACCAATTTTCCAGGGAACGTTTACTGTATTTGAAACTACATGATTCTATTAAAAGAACCTGTATTACCTGGCCACGTAGAAACGAATCGATTACAACCAGTTTATTTGCCCTTTGAAATCATCCAATTCGTGTCTGAATTATTTTTTCCCCACGGTGTATAGTTTTCCAATAATTTGCACCTTTCGTTTGTAACTGGATACCCTGTGTATCTTTGCATATCATACAAATTTCGAATCTACAACCTGTAACTTGAAGGAAACACACCGAAAATTACCATTAACCGACGAAGATGTTCAACGAACAACCGATACTTCTACTAACGTTGGATCACGTTATATTGCACGACACGATCGCTAGATCAGTCGAGTACGTGACGTTTTATTTCCGCTTTGCCCTGTAAAATTTCGACTCGTCGATGTCTCTGGTGAGTTTGGAAATCGTAAGCGACGCAGGGCTACTCGATAAAGTACAGCCGTAGAAAAAAAAGCGTTGGAAAGGGAATAGATCAGAGACATGGAAATCCCGTCGCTAATTGCCGCGCGATACGTTCTGAATTATTTCTCTGGCGACCAACGACCAGAACGACGAGGGTGGACGTATGGATCGAACGGGGTGGCGAGTCGTTGTAATAAAAAGGGCGAGTCGTACCAGTGGAGCTCACAAGCTTGACGGCGACTCTTTTCCATCGGCAACTTTTATTTAAACTTTCATTGTCCGCTAATGGAAACGCAACGCAACGCAACGTCGTTTCGTCCGCGGTCGAGCGTTCTTTCGACGCTCTTTATTGATTCCTGCGACGCTAACGCGTCATACATGACGCGTCGCGTGCCCGCCGCTTCCGCGAGATAAATCTGTCCAACGGTCACGCGTCAATCTCTTTTCCTCTATCTCTATTTTTTCCCGACTTGCTTGATAACGTGACCGCGATTTCGCCGGTAATTATCCGTATCATTGAATCTTGCAACTGTAGAGAAGATTCGATATGCGTCAGCTGGTCAGCATCTTTTCGGAGAATCTATCAATCTTTGGAGAACTGAGGAATATCGCAACGTCATAAATACATTACGTTTCTTTAAATTTCGTAGAATCGTAGAATCTGGCTGGAAGACATAACGTACGTAGCAACGAAAGAGATAATGAATCGAATCCTTGGAAATCAGGCAGATGGCAAGCTTGTTGTAAGTTGTGCGAAATTACGTGGATGGAACTCTTTAACCCTTTGAGCGCTATGAACGCAATATACGTTCTCGTACAACCATTCAATTTAGGCTAGAAGTGGCGCTAAAGTGGCGCGATAAAAGAGACGTATGGATGTTATCCACCTGACATTTTGATGATTTCGTTGAAACAAAAAAAGAAAAAAAAATTAATTATCAAACTGGCAAACCAAAGCGAAAAACAAAGCGTGTAGCAGACTGCAATGCCTTGATGGGCGCAGTTGATAAAATCGATATGATTTCGAGTTCACTTCGCTGCGTTCGAAAAAGCACAAAATGGTATGAAAAATATTTTTTCCACCTTTTAAACCTCGCTATATACAATGCATACATTCTTTGTAAAAATGCTAATAATAAAACTGGAACATTTGAAAATTTTCATCTGCCTCTCGTAAAAGATATTTTGCAAAAATACCTACCACGCTGAGTAGAGGCTAAAGAAGGAAGATTCATTCGGACGACCTTCCATTTCTGTTAACGAAGAGGCATTTTCCTACATCCTGCACAACTAAAGAAAATAATAAACATTGTTCACGACGAAGATGCGCTGTTTGCACTAAACATAATCGCAGGACTGATTCGCGTTACGAATACAAAAAATGTAACATTGGCTTATGTATTGAAGCCGGCTTTACCATACAATACAAAATTATTAAATTTTCAATAAAAAAAATAAATTTTCAAGCTTTTATATTCTTCGTGTTATTATTGCTCGATGAAATAAATGGTTATTAAGGCTTTTCGGGTCACTGCATCATTTATTTTAATTACAATCGATATATTTTGCGATGAAAATTCAGTCCGCTCAACTTGCGCTCTTTCGTAAAAAATACGCAGCCCACGGTGTGTTTCTTCGTAAAGAGAGTGCAGTCCACGGCGCGCGCTTAACGTCGGACAACGCAGCGCTCAAAGGATTAAAACTATCGGTATATTTGCAAATGTAAAAGCACCGAAATAATTTACACGCCTAATACATAACACACAATTTTTCTACGAACAGAAAATAACGCAAGTAATTGGTAACCGAATTACCAACGAAGATGGCGGATTTTATTATCGTACGAAAATTGTCCTTGTGATTCGATTAAACGGTAGCCGAAAATCACTATGTCCATTCACTATTTCAAAGTCGTAGTAAGATACCGGTTTGTTTCGTTGATCTTCGTAACCCCCGTGCCACGACAATCCCGATAAATATCTCATTTCTCGAGTCCGGCCGATAGGATGGTAGCTCGTCGCAGCAACGGGTCGCAAGGGTGATCGATAGAACGTGACCGGGTCAGAGGGTTAATTAGTTTCCGGCTGGCGCGCTAAAAAATTCGAGCGTGTCGCGAGGGTCGAGGGTCGAGGGTTCGTCGCAAAGTTTCGAGCTTTCAACGAGGCGCGATCGTCGAGAGTACCGTACACCCAATTGCATCGTTTGATCGCTAGGAAAAACTCGTTATTCAATCTTGAAATTGTAATTTCGAATTTAAATTTTAACAAATATTGAAATTTTCATTCGAACGGAAATTTCTTTTCACATTGCGGATTTTTGTTCACATTGCCGAATCGGTCGGATTAACCACGCGTTACTCTAACATTTCACGTCGATTAACTCGTTCAGACAGCTTTGGGGTTCTGGCATTCTCCGATTTTCGCGGTACTTTTGGAATCGTTCGATTCGGATGTCGAATATAGCGTGAAATATCGTTTTCAGACAGCAGTCGAATTTTTCGACAGGATACTAATTTTTTACGAACTTTTACCCGAATACCATGTTTATTCGTATTGCTTGATTCCGTCGATGGTACGAGAACAGGAAATGAGCTTCGTGTTTACAGGATGTCGACGTTTGAACAATCGACGGGCGGGAAGTCGCAGTGGCGCGTGTCAAAATTTGTAGAATTTGTTTCAGTCACCTGTTTCAACTTTTAAAGCTATCATCCCTTTAACTTCGTGATCGATTAAGTTATATCTTTATTCCCTTATGCATTATATTATAGCGAACTTTTTATAACGTTGAATAAAGAACGTGTTTTATGAGAAATGTTGCATCCACTTACACCGCTATGATTACTAGCCCATCAATTTCAACGTTTTCTTGTCTAAGTTGTGAAAAATTAGAAGAGAAGAGAAGATCGGTAATCGAGATGGTAAACTTTTAGCACTTTTACAACGCGAGCAAACGTAAAACGAAAGTTTCGCCGCGAGATTTTCGGCTTAGACACTGAAGAAAAATCGCAACTCTTTAAGAACGGCGCTAAAACAAAGGGCACGTACAGAAGAGATGTATCGCGAAGTGTATGAAACTAAAAGTTTCGCTGAAGCCGGAAAAATAGCATAACGGCGATAAAAATAAATAATGGAAGGCGCCAGACGTATCGATCCAACCTTTAGCACTCCACAGCCTCCACGGAAGTTAAGGAATTCTCTTGGCCGGCGCGGCGTGTAGCTAACAAGGTGGTAAACTCTCCCCTTCGTGCGCGATTTTCGTCCTTGGAGTACCACGTGTTTCCAAACGTTCGCCGTATTGAAATTTTTACGATTTCAACGATTTTAGAAATTTCAACAATTGGGCCACGACACCGCGTGTCCTGCGAGCAATCGTCATAGTGAAATAATAATTAAACAACAAGTTTTTTGTGAAATCATCGTTCACGGTAAAAGCAATCCATCGATAAGGTATTAATAGACTAGTAATACGTCGTCGATGTTACAGAGGAAAAACTAGGTTCAAAAATGGCTAGGAAATATTTTGATGGATCGCTTGAATATTTCAATATTGATTTTTCCTGTATTTCTGTTCACAGGGGAACAATCCGAGAAATGGATGCCCAGTGTGCGAGAAGCACTGTCCGCAAAGACAGACCAAGTCGGATGAATACTTGTGTTGGAACCAGCAACACTGCCAACAAAGTAATTGTTTTTCTCTCTGGAATTATGAATTTCGCATGAAATATAATAGTAGACTCTGTCTGTCTGTCTGTCTGTCTGTCTGTCTCTCTCTCTCGATCGGTCTTTTTGTGATAGAGCAGAGTTTATAAAACAAGGTAAAATTTGGAACGAAATATTCAGAGGAGAATTCCATTTGGTATGGTATATGGTAAAAGGCACGTTTAGTTGCACGAAAGTTTATGCGTCGTGTAATATCAAGACCAACTTTTTTTTTTAGATTAAATTTTGTTTTATGCTAAATTCGACGTAGGATGAATACGTTACAGATAATAACGTGGCAGATGAAAAGGAGACCGGGTAAAAGGGAAGCTCTAGTATATCGTCAATTCTAGCAATTTTCGTTTATGCAAATAAGAAATTTCGATAGAACTACAACCGTCTGAACGCATCAAGGGAAGCCACAGTTCATGTATAATAGGAACTTATCGATTCTCCAAACATTTTCTCGTTTTCGCTGTATCGTCTTGTCGAATCTAAGCTACTCTGTCCATATCTTCTGTTTATTATATCGAAACTAACGTTATATACGATAAGTTTAATTATTTCGTGCAAAGTTCAAGATCGAACTTCGTCATGTCGAAGCTTAGGTGTTCCAGACGGACGCTACTTTCTCAGTTTCGCTAGAAATCGATTCCAGTCTCGAAGCATGACAGCCACCGTTTCATCTGAAAATATCGTTTCTCGACAAAGTAGAGAAATCGCGCGCCAGGTAGAACGAAAGTTGGAAATTCCCTGTCAGCCGATGTTAATTCGTAACGCGGCGATGTCGCAGGGGAAATTCCCGATGTTGATCGGCCGCGTTGTCCGAGTGGAAGATGAAAGGACACGCACGTTTCCAGCTATCTTCGACGGCTGCCGCTCCCACGCATGACGACGACCCATTCTCGATCACGCTCCCGCCCCGTTCGTTCCTTCCTTCCGAAATTATCCGATTATTCGCTGGCCTTGTGGAAAATGGAGGCTGTCTGGCCGCGAGGAAAGGGGCGACGAGAAATTGGCGGCGGCGCGACACGTTGGCCACCGTAGGCGGCTCACCCGTGGGCGCTACGACTCTAAATTACACTCAACGGATCTTTGCGCGGGTAAAAACTGACAGGAATGCGCTAAACATCGTTGTACTAGCAATCGCGTGCCGCTTGAACTTTTCATAGAACGCCGATAGTCGTTCAGTTCCACGGTAGCTCGAGTGTTTCACGTCGATTTATGAGAAGCTTATTTTTGGATAATTTCTCAAGGGCCTACGAAATGTTTTTCTTTTCTTCCGTTTTTCTTTTTTACATTTCACTCTTTTTTTTTTGGCGAACTTTCGATGTGTTTCGCGTTTATCGATCGTATCGTAGGCTGTTCGTTAGCGAGAAGCGGCCCCTTTCGCAAAAATTACAGGGAAAGTTGGAGACGTGGCCACGTGTCCCCACGGAGAACGTGACAAGACTTCATCCGGTGAGACGCACGTTCGAGGCTACATCCGTGTGGTTGTTTACCCGGAACAGTGGCTTGAATTTTTTCACGTGTAGTCATCAAACAGCCATTTTATCCGTTAAAAAGATTCAACCTTGTACTTATATATCAAACATCGGACAGTGTCTCCTTGATGCTTCTCTTAACAGCTACCTTATCGAGTGAAGGCGAACTCTCTGGAACGAGGTAGGATTTAAAAGACACAGAAGACAGAGGGATTTATAAGATATATATCTTCGATCGTTGAATCGCTAATTTTACCGGTAGAAGTCTCGGGAATAGCGCGTTGGTCAATTAGGTGGACGAGGGAAAATAAGGAAAACGCTTAGGTCGAAGATGCTATGTGGAATCGTAGGACAGTAGAGATGAGAACACCTTCGTACAACGTCATGGATAGTACGCGTTGTTAGTATCATTGGCGTTCTAATTTGTTCGTTTCAGTCTGCGATCGAAAGTGCGAGAACAACGCATGCGACGAGTCCGGAACGTGTTGCCATCCGTCGTGTCTAGGCACGTGCACTGGCCCGACGAATCGCGACTGCGTCGTCTGCAAAGACGTGGTAACCGACAACAACGAGTGCAGGGAACAGTGCCCTAACGGTACCTTGGAATTCATGAACCATCGATGCATCAACGAGGAGAGGTGCCTTGGAATGCAGAAACCACGGGAAGTGTTCAACGTGAAGAACTACCCGTACAAATCGTTCAATGGAAGCTGCGTAATGGAGTGTCCACCGGGCTACATGGACGAAGAATCAAATGGCAAAGTGTCGTGTAAAAAATGCGAGGGACCCTGTCAGAAAGAGTGTGCCGGAGCGAACGTGGACAGCATCGCCTCGGCGCAGAAACTTCGTGGATGCACTCACATCACCGGCAGTTTAGAGATCCAGATTCGAGGTGGGAAAAATATCGTGAAAGAGCTGGAAGACAGTCTGAGCACCATAGAAGAGATCGACGGCTACTTGAAGATCGTGCGTAGCTTCCCATTGATATCTCTCAACTTCCTGAAGAACCTGCGAGTGATACGCGGAAACGACATCGATAACTCAAAATACTCGTTATTGGTAATGGACAACCAAAATCTACAGGAACTCTGGGACTGGAGTTTGCACAAAGATATTAAAATCCTGTCGAAAGGTGGCATAGGAAAGATCTTCTTTCATCTAAATCCGAAACTGTGTTTGTACAAAATCGAGATGCTTCGAGAGAAGGCGGGTTTACGACCTTTTACGGATTACGAGGTGGCGCCTAATAGCAACGGCGACAAAGTTGCTTGTAACGTAACCGAACTGAGGACCAGGGTTGGTAAGAAGTCACCGTGGGGTGCGGTGATCGAGTGGGAACCGTTTATTCACCACGACGCCAGGTCTCTTCTTGGATACGTGGTATATTTTATCGAGGCACCCAACATGAACGTAACGATGTACGATGGTAGAGACGCGTGTGGTGGAGATGGTTGGAAGGTCGATGATGTATCCGCAAGTACAAATACCACCCTGATGGAAGGATCCAAGTTTGGGTCTGGCCGACAGGAGAAGAACGTACATACGCATTACTTGTCTCAGCTGAAGCCATACACGCAGTACGCTTATTACGTGAAGACTTACACTATTGCCACGGAAAGGTCCGGAGCCCAGAGCAACCTAACATACTTCAGAACGATGCCGGAAGCTCCTAGCTCACCCAGGTCCCTTATGACTTGGAGTAATTCGAGCAGCGAGCTGATCATGTCCTGGCTGCCACCTCTTCACAAGAACGGAAACCTAACGCACTATCGGATCTTTGGACGATGGGAGCCGGACGACCCTAATTTCATCGATCAGAGAAATTATTGCGAGGAACGTGAGTACATCGATTATGCGATCAATTTTATTAATTTTATCAATCCCTTGACATTTGTAAATGTGATATGCACGGATACGGGAATGTGTTCGATTCGCGCAAGCTCGTAATATTCCGGGGCAGAGCTTGTTGCGATTGTATAAACGATTCGATAAGGAAAGAATTAATATTTGATCGATAATATTTAACATTAATACTTGAATTGATTTTTTACTTGAGTAAAAAAGAAATCAGGTAGATCTAACGATAATTAAAATGTGTTGCATGCTTAGCTCTGATGCTGACAGATAAGAAGGCGCTCGCAGAGGAGGAGAGGAAACGAATAGAGGAAGAGAAAGAGCAAATGATACCTGAAACTGGCACCTGCGAATGTCCTGATCGAGAAACCGATCAGTCTCTTCGAGAGAAAGAAGCGTCCAGCGCGATCGAATTCGAAGACGCTTTACACAACCAGGTCTATATAAAACGAAAACCGAAGAAGAAGCGCGACGTTTCGGAGATGTCGTTCATTCTATCCAGGAAAACGAAATCGTTGGATCGAGATCAGGTAAAGCATCGCTCAATTTCATCGAAAAGTATTTATAGCGTTTCCATACGTTTAGCCAACGTGATATCGAGTTTTGTACGTCCCTGTTGCAAAATTGCATTTATAGTCGCTTGATTCTCGCTTTCTTAAGTGATACATCGCTAATGTCGGTCAGTTCGAAGGAGTTAAGTCCCTTCCATGTCCTTTTCAAATTCATCTTCCTAACCTTTCCACTTTTATATTCACAGCCTGTAATGGAAAAGATCGAGAACGGGACGTACATAGTGTTCGAGCAATTGGTGCCCAGCATGAATCTCTCCTTCGTAATGAAAAACCTACGCCACTTTGCCGCTTATAACATCGAGGTGCAGGCTTGCAGAGCGCAAGAAATGAACGACACTTACAAGAAATGCTCCACCAAAAGTATGAGAACCTATCGCACGTTACCCCTGGAAAGTGCCGATAACATTCCTCCCAACACCTTCAAGATGAGCATATCCGGCGAGAATAACAGTCTCACCATGGTTACTCTGCAGTGGGATGAGCCACCTCAGCCCAACGGTCTGATCATCACCTATCAGATCGAGTACAAGAGGGTTGACATACAAAACGTGAGTGGAATTCACGTCTACTTAACTTCTATTGGTTCATCCTGTCAAACTTTGTTCACAGTATCGGGTTTCGAATTTTGCAACAATTCTGTGAACAAAAGATTATCCTGTTTCAGTACAAACCGACCGTGGTGTGCATCACGAGGCGGGACTTCACAAAGGCAGGCAACTCGTACGTCCTTAAAGAGCTTCCCGCCGGAAACTATTCCGTGAAAGTTCGAGCGACGAGTCTTGCCGGCTATGGCGCCTATACGCACGTAAAATACTTCTACATCGAGGAGAGAAACACCCTAAGTACTTTCTGGGTGATATTCTGGCTGTTATTTTGCGCGGTCATCGCGATCGTTAGCTTCGTCTCGTTCTACGTTTGTAAACGAAAGTTCTTAAGGAACGTTCCTAATGTGACGTTGATCGCAACCGTGAATCCGGAGTACGTGAGCACTCCGTATGTGTTGGACGAGTGGGAGGTACCAAGAGAAAAGATCGAGATGCTGAAATCGTTGGGAACTGGCACATTCGGCATGGTTTACGAAGGAATAGCTAAGGACATCGTGAAGGGTAAACCGGAAGTACGGTGCGCTGTGAAAACGGTGAACAAGGACGCCACTGATCGGGAGAGAATCGAGTTTCTCAACGAAGCATCCGTGATGAAGTAAGTTGATGAATAATCCGAACACGTTGCAGGGCAAAAATAACTCGTGCTCGTGCTTATCTTTCTACAGGAAAGTAAAAATATACTCTGGCGTCTTTGATTTCCATGTAATTAAAAGTCGAGAAACATCCGCTGTTTAATTATATGACTATGCGAATCTTTTCTTTGCAGGGGTTTCGACGCTCATCACGTGGTCAAGCTTCTTGGCGTGGTAACTCGTGGGCAACCAACCTTGGTCATTATGGAGTTGATGGTGAACGGCGACTTGAAGAGGTACTTGAGGAGTCACAGGCCAGGCACATGCGAGAACATGATTAACGCGCCACCAAAATTAGACAGGATACTTCAGATGGCCATTGAAATCGCCGATGGAATGGCCTACCTCTCTACGAAGAAATTCGTGCACAGAGATCTGGCCGCTCGGAATTGCATGGTTGCGGAAGATTTAACGGTAAAGGTGGGAGACTTTGGAATGACGAGGGACATCTACGAGAGGGACTATTATCGAAAAGGAAGCAAAGGCTTATTGCCAGTCAGATGGATGGCACCAGAAAGTTTGAAAGACGGTGTTTTTAGCAGTTATTCGGATGTGTGGAGCTATGGAGTTGTGTTATGGGAAATGGTGACTTTTGCATCGCAGCCATACCAAGGTCTATCGAACGAGCAGGTATGTGTGTTTTAATTTCTAACCAAAATTATGTTCACAACGATACGAAATTTGTACAAAAATCTACAGTCTCTTTATATCGTCACAACCTCTCTTAACGTACATTAGGTTCTGCGGTACGTGATCGAAGGAGGAGTTATGGAACGGCCAGAGAACTGTCCAGAGTTGTTATATGAACTGATGAAGCACACCTGGAGACATAAGGCGACCAGAAGACCCACGTTTATGGACATCGCGAGTATGTTGCTAAAGCATATCGACTCGGACCGTTTCCAGAATGTCAGTTTCTATCACAGTGTAGAAGGAGTGGAAGCAAGGAACCAAAACAAGTCCAACTCACCACAGATAGATCAGTGAGCATAGAACTTTTCTTATTAGAATATAGTAATGCTCGCTGAAATTCCAATAACTTTTTCAGGGTCGAATATTTTTGGAGAAAAAATTTCTTTTTATCGTTTATTAGGTAGAAAACAAAACAGATATATTTTCTTACACTTTACAAATATATTTATTGTTTATATAATTAACAACTTGCGAAAGATTACAATACGGATGCCCGATTTATTGGAATTTATCCAAGCGCTACTGTAATATCGCGTTCTTTGCTAGTCCTTCTGACACAATGTTTCTAATTCGTGTACAGGCACTTGGAACTAGCTACATTGCAAGATCTACAAGAAGAGGAAGTGGAAGGGGAGGAAGATTCTCCATTGAGGCAGGATTTCGGCGATTTCGCGAGCTTCGAGCCAAACAGTATTAAGAACAGTTTCAGTCCCCGTTTCAGAATGGATTCATACGGCGAGAACTCGAAAACAAACTCGAACTGCCACGACATGAACTCATCGAACGTGCCGTTGAAGGCCGGTTTCGACGATTTCGACGGTGTCTCTGCAGATTCGATTGCCTCGGGCAAAGACGTACTAAACCTGCCATTCGTCGAGGACAGTTTAAAATCTGTTAAGAGTTCGCCGTTTATAAACGCGAAGAGCACCTCGCGAAGCAACTTGAGTCAACTATCGATCAGCAACAGATCAGGGAGTCCGAAGAATCCCAGCAAAAGAAGTTTCCTGAGCAGCCCAAATTCTTCGAAGCTGGTGAATCCAGATTACGAGAATGGTAGCCCAGAAATTTTGTCGGCTGCGGAGAAGAGGGAAGCGGTGCCGCTGCGGGTCGACTTCCCATCGATGGACACCATCAATATCGACAACGGTATGGAGAAAAAGGAAATGAAATCACCGGTTGAGTACGTGAACAAACCGGAGACCTTAAACAATGGCTACATAAGTGGTACGACCACGTAGTGTTAACATTTTCGCACCCTAAGTTCGTCGTTGCCCAAGCAACACGACGTCAAGGGTGCGACTGGATCTACTGAAAGCGATTTAAGATCGCGTACGTGGACTGCTGGTGTCAGTCTCTGAACATTGTGGTGAAATTTATTCGGGAAGGTCTGACACGAGACATTGAAGAGTATTCTGGAATCGAACGAACCTTCGAAAGGGGCAGTGTCTGTAAGACGACTGGCGAGTCAGACTTTCCAACAAACGTTCCAATAACTCTGCGACGCGTTTTCTACGTTCATATGCATGCTCACATCGCGCCTTCGACCGAGTGGTGTTTTAAAACGGCAAGTTCTAAGTTGTAAGTCGTATTTTAAATCTTTAGATGCGTTTAAATATGTCCTTGTTTATCCACTACGTTGACAAATTATTTTCGTAGAAAACGTGAACGTCTCTTGATTTCGTCTCTCTAAGTATCCTATTATTACGTTCGTAAGATATATTACATTATATATAAACCCGTGTTTTTCATTTGCGCGCATCCGCTTGTTACAGCAGACACTGCCTTTTCACGCCGAAAGAAAGAAGCGGCTTGAAAGTGTGAGACGAATTCGACAATGTTTTCCGAATACTCCGGAGAAAAGCGACGAGAACGAAACTAGCGTCCCCTTACAGGCCTGATGAATAACGGCCGAGGTATGATTAAAAAAACGCGATTGCATCGAAGATTTGCGATTTGCAGTTCATGTTCTGTGCATATATAAATATGTATATACACACACACATATATATATATAATATACATACATAAATATGTATATACATATATGTATATTTATATGTGCACACACGCGCCTGTATATATATATTCCGTTAATGCGCTTTTCTTCGTTCGAACTAATCGTAAGGTGAAGGGAACATCGGCTTCCTTTCGTTGACCGCGTTTACAAATCAAAGTGGCAATTAGGCGAGCCAGCCGATCGGTTACGGCGGTTTTATATTTTACAAGAAATAGACGCGAATCACTGTTTTAATTGCCACTTTGCACGACTGTAGGCTTTTACGAATGCCATTATTACCGTAGATTAGGTCGTTCGACGATCGTTAGAGAAGAAATATATGTGGAAACGAATCGAATAGGTACGAATCTTCTCGAGTTATCCCATATTTTTAAAGAGATCTATCAACGATAAAGTGTCATTGTTATTGTCATGGACAGATATACGAAACCGGTTGATACAGCTTCGTTCGTATTCCTCTCGTTTTTATTTCGTATATCGGAAGGTAATCTTACAGGGGACGTGGTATCCAGGGAAATTCAACGTGTCTCCATATATATTTATTCCTTGCGATTTCCCCGTGGTGGCTGCGAGAAACCCAGTTACCGTGGCTCGATTCATTCGTTCGAGGGAAATCGGGATTCTGAAACAGAAATCCTCGAAATCGTGCAATAGAAGCATCGCTCGCGGCCTTGCGTTCGAGCGCTGTTCGCTACCCGTTGTTCTCTCGTTTGGTGCTAACACGAGCGTGTCGAAAAAGAAAAAAAGAAGAAAGAAAAGGAAAACGGTCGGTTAACGAACAAAGAGTTTCTCGCACTGCCGAAGGTTAAGGGAAAGAAATCGAACATCGGTTCAGAAGCGCGTTCCACCGTGCTTTTGAGTTAGGCGAGAGAACGTAGACTGTTTAGCTCGAGGCGATAGAGTCCAGGTCGATCGAAGCGATCGATCCTGACGCGTGTGAAATCGTCAAAGTACGTCGATAGCTAGAACGTCGAGCAAACCAGAAAAAAGAGTCCACCGCCAGCGACGCGATACCGCAGTTTGAATTTAGATGTTAACGAGCCTCTAACATAAGACTGATTAGCTAATCCCATTTATTACATCCGTATTCGCTGAGTAAGTTTACGACATGGTAGAAGTTCCATATATCTACATACGTACATATACATATTTTTTCATCTCCGTAAACGTTGCCCTCTCTTTTTTTTCTGTTTCATGGAGCATTCATCACGAGACGGATATCGTCTCCTTTATCTCCTCGAGACTACTTACTATCGCTCGTACTTTGTTCCTTTCTCGCGTCCTTCGCGCGCTGCTGGAATCGAACCGAGTGTTTCGCAAGCAGACGAAAGCGGAAGCAGAACGAAAGTCTGTTCGAGAGATGATCCGCGATATCGACGAGGCGCGATCGAAGGAAGCGGAAAATCGAATTCCGTGGGAACGTGAGTTCGGTAATCTCGACTGGTTACGCGCCCGAGACAATTAACCAGCGTAAGGGAAAAAACTTGAAACACGCGTTTGTCCGTTAGTCGTCCGGCGTTGGCCCGTAGAACGCGTTTCGAGAAAAAGGAAACTGGAATTCGATTCGTCGACGTTTACGGCGCGCGCCGTTTTCACTCGGCCATCCTCACGGAACGCTCTCTTTGCCTTCGCGACCGAAACACCGCTACGCATTCGATGGCCAGAAGCTAACCGCTAGAACGAGATTCGAGCACCAGTGACCTAATGTCAAAGTACCTACTCTATCCGTAACGCTTTGCGCATTATTCGTGCGTCATAGGTCGAAGCAACGAGAATCGTACAAAAACACGCGACAGAGCTGCGATTCGAGAGCAAGACCGCGCGTGTTCCTGCTCGACGCGTCCGCTCGCGGACGAGAGCGCGATCGACATCGAAATGAAGATCGAAATCGAGATCGAGTCGACTGTATGTTTTCAGGAGTGCGATTTATTTTCGTACGCGTGATCTGTTAACGATGCCAAACCGTGACGCATGGCGTGATCGTCGATTCTTCCTCGATATTCGCGTCTTTCCTCGGATTACCCGTCGCATCATCTCGTCGCGTCGAAGTGCCAACATGTCGAAATGTGTATGCGCGATTGGCCAATGAAACGCGACGAGAGAGGACGAGGTAAAAGTCGCGATCGCTGCAATCCTTCTGATCGCTCGATCGTGTTCGAGGATCGCTGAGAAAGCATTTTTGCCCTTCGCAGCTCTTGCTGTTTCGCCTAACGTTTAAGGCGACTCTTGTTCTCGAAACTGTTCCGTGAAGCGTCGAGCGAGCAGAGACTCGCAGGATGTCAGTTCTAGGAAAGAACGGATCGCGCGGTTTGATTCGTCGAGAGGATCGGCCGCGCGGTTGATCGTTGTATTATAAAACAATGTGAAGCCTCGCTCGTATTCTAAAGTATTTAGTGTAACTCGAATAAACAGTTAACGCTTAGACCGTACGCATACGTGGCGCGCGTGCAGCCGCGCGTCGTCCTATGCATACGGCATTGTAAGATTAACCAGAAATGTTTCCTACGAAGTGACGAGTTCTCTCTATATCATACAAAGTGGCTCGTGGCTCTAAAAGAATGAAGTTTCTTAGGCCTATATAGTTTTGAGACCGTGTAATATATAAAATATATTATATATATATATATATATTAAGGACGAAGAATCTGGTATTACAGAGATAACGCGTAAGATTATGAGAACGACTGCGACCGCGTGTATCCGTTGAAAGAAGAAAACTAGAATAATCGTGTGTCTGCGAAGAAAATGATTGACTGTGAAACGACGAGTGCTTGTGTGGCTTACTTCGCGACGCAAACGCGTGAAATCGATGCTAGCGATCGCAGCGAGACAGAAATTTCAACGGGTGATAAGCTCGTCTGGCCTGTATCGATATGATACGTATGTACTCTGTATCGATCACCTAGCCGAACTGATGCACGTAATTTCGTTGTCACCGCGAGAACGCGATCGGTGAACTGTTTCGACGAAAGAGGATGAGCGACCGTTCGAAGGAGACGTTTGAAAGGAACTGTTTCCACGCGAAAGCTATCAAAAACCGTTTCAAAATTCATCGATGGTTAAACGTTGACAGTTGGACCTATCGTACGTTCAACAGATTCGGCTGAACGATGAGTAAATTCATTCCTCGATTCTTTCTCGGCGCCTCTTGTTTTCCAACACTCGCGTTCATTCGTGGGAAATTTTCTCTCCTCAGACGAACGCGTCTAATCGCTCGCCATTTTCCAAAGGATCCGCGTTCGATTTGGCGCGCTCTGTTTCCGTTTCCAGCGATTTTTTACCCGTTTTTTCCCTCTCTGTCCTTTTTTCTATGTTTAACACAATGGTTAAACGTTTTCGTTAACGTTTGCATTTCGTCAACTTTTTTTTTCTTCGTTGTCTTTTTGGGACCGATTCGCGATAATACGTCTACTTTCGCGGAAAACGTAGCGGCGTAATTTAAGTAACACACCGAGGACTGCCCTCTTGTTCCTATTCCATATCCTTTCTTTTTACTCTTAACACTGCAATTTACGTACGATTAGTCATGTACATACATAACACGAGTAACCTAAGATTTTCTTGTATTTACGTTTAGATTTTTAGGTAAAGATAACACATTTGACAAACAAAAATTTCGATTCCGACAACACCTTCCTTCGGATTTATCTTCGACTGTAACTCGTCTAGTATTCTTTTTCGACACTTTTTTTTTCTCCCTCCCTCTCTTTCTCTCTCTCTCTCTTTCTATCTCTCTCTTTTTAACATAATCTCGCGTTCGTTCGCGTGCGAAACTGCCTCTTAGTTAGTTCTGGCCAAAAGACAACGTTTTCTCTCACGACTGCTCAATGTTAGATTGCTCAAGCTCTGGTCTGATCTGTAGTTAGCGTGAAATCAATCAGGGAAATATTGTCACAAGTCCTCCGTACCGAGAATCGCATTGACGACGACAGTGCACAAAAGAAGGAAGAGGAAATCGAACGAGAAAGGAAATTCCACGCATATTCCTTGAACAAAATAATAGTCTCTTTCTCTCCCTCTGTTTCTTTCTCTCATATTCCTCTCGTACACACGCGCGTTTCATTTTACCATTTTTATTCCCGTGCTCCTATTATTTTTCGGAATCATTTTTCGTTCCCTCTTGTTTTTCTCTTTTCCTGTCTGTTCTTGAAAACTTTTACTCGTAGTATCTGCGATACCACCATATACGTTTAACGCCCTTCTAGAGGAAAAAAAAAAAGAATGAAGAAGAAAGAAACACTGACACCGACTTCCTCGGAGAAACCACTAATTTTTATATAGGGATCTTGTAAACGAAGTTTTTCTACGCTGACCGTATTTTGCATAAGGACAAAAAAAGAAAAAAAAGAAGAAAAGAAAAGAAAGAAAAGAAGTCAAAAGATATTTTAAAATATCACGTATTGTTAATCCGACTGTTAGAATTACCGTACTATTAGTATTGTTACGTTTAAGCCCGTAAAAGGAAAAAAAATGCAAAAGAAGAAAATGATCAATACGAACGCAAGCATGTTTCGTTTTGCCCTGTGGGGCGTTGTAGAAACGAATGCGACCTCGTCCAACGATTCTCGTTCCCGATCGACGCACCACGAGATCGATGATCGTTCGATGACCGCGTCGTCGTTCGTTCGTTCAATTTGTTCGTCGAACAAAACTGGTGAACGTTTTTTCCTATTATTTATTTTTTTTGTATATACATTATTGTCGTATTTATTTGTCAATAAAGAGCTTGCGATGCGCGGATACAAAGATGCTTTCATCATCGGCCTTTACCTTCTACACACACGTCCGATATCGGTTATCGACACGTTCAAACGGTTACGCTCCTTCGTTGTACAGAATGTTCAGTAAGAGTGGCGCTACGACCGAACAAGCAACGATTCGCCGCGAGAAAGTAAGTCGAAATTGAAGAATAAGGTTTTCGCGTACGAGGCTTCGTTTTCGAGAAAAACAATTTTGAAAATCTACTTGCCTCGCGTGTATCGAGTCGAAGTTTCAACTTGGCTTCTGTTGGCGTGTTTGTATCTATAAATATCAACAATATCATTGTCTGCTTCTTATCGTTACGTATCATACTTTCTATCGAACTGTATTATGTATAGTTTCTTTTATTGCGTTTGATTCGAACGATTTCATAAATAAGAATAGAACCGTGTATTAGCTTTGGACAATTAATTTTATTCGCGTAGAAATTGTTCGAAATATCGTCCATAACGTCTCATACACAGTTACGCTTTTCCAATTAAATTATAGTTGTGTAACGTACGATTTGTATTTTTAGTTTCTCAAGAACGGGAACAACGATTGCTTCTGCTTGCTACATACTCTCAAGTCAATTTAACCGGACAAAGACAAACGTACCGTGCAAACATTTCAAATCGTTTTCCTTACAAAACGAAGGTTCGTACGCGAGAGCTTTGTTCTATATGTTCGGAGTATTTTTTCACGACGAATCGTTCCTTGTTCGGCTGTGTATCACCAGTCGTCGGACACGATCTACGAATAGATTAAAAACAGGAACGAAATCGGAGGAAATTTTTATTTACGCAAACCCGGCAAATTGCACGATGTGTTCCTCGTTGTTGCTATTATCGTCGATATTTTACGTTATCTGGTCGATTATAAATAATAACCGCGCGATAGAGACGGTAATCACTGATAGGTGCTCAACTACCGCTAACGACAATAGAAGAAAAATCCGATTGTTAGATCGTTATAGATAAATAGAACGTCCTAGAGATTTTTTTTGAAAAGTTTCAATTCCGAGAAAAGAAATGAGATTCCAACGAGAGCTGGCGTCCGAAGAGCGACGATATCGTGATCATCGGCACGCGCATCGATCGCCGTGTGATTATATCGGCAAAATATCGTGCGATGTCATTTCCAACCAGTCCTTGGTGCCGTATGGCCTACTCGCCAAGAAAATTCCTTTTCGGGACGGTGACGTACAATGAGCGGCTGAATTACGATCGCGGGACACGCCCGGTTTCGTAACCTCGTCGATTTTGCGCCACTGTTTCCAGACACCTTGATTTTTCTCCTTTCTCGATAATATGGTGCACTTGAAAATGTACATATGTACGCGAAGGTCTTTTTTCGTTTCGCAAGCCAATTCGAAACACGTAGCTGATGACAGGCGGCCGAATTTTATCTTCGAAGCGATTCGCAGTTTTTCACCACACTGTAGCAAATTCGAATCGTTTCTGAACGTTATTCGAAGCTTGGAACCTTTGAACGTTCTCAAGAGACTTTACGATTCGGATACGTTTTACGAATCTTGCGAGTCTCGGATGTCTTGCAAGTCTACAATTGGAACATTTTAAACTTTCATTGAGAGTGTCTTTGGATTATCAATATATATTGTCGATATTTCAATTTCAGTTCTCAACTAATTTATTATTGTAAATTCATCAGTGTGTATTGTTAATATTTATCGGCAAACTGCGTTTTTGTTAGGAACTTTGAAATATCGATGATATAAGGGGACACTCTTAATTCATCGTGCGAATATACCGCTTGGACAAAATGTTTGCAAGATAATAAATATAATATTTACCAAGCTCTCGAAACCTATTGAAATTCTCAAGACTTCCAAAACGTTCGAGACTTGCAAGATTTTTAAAGCATTCAAGACACCTAAAACTTAATCAAGACATTAGAATTCCAAGCTTCGAATTACGCGCGAAACGAATCGAATTTTTCGTTGGATATACGGATTCGAAGCGATTGCAAATGTGTCAGATCTCGTGGCTATATGTGGCGAACGAGCAGGTATTAAAATAGCAACAACTCTCTTCTATTCGCACGACGACGTGCAGATTTGAAAGCGGAGAATCATTTATATTCGGGATTTTTCACGAGACGTTTTTGTCGAACATAATGCACGACGTGCTTTCACTATCGTTCTCGCTGCGACGAAAAGAAAGTGCTGTAACCCGTCCCCGTTGCGAAAATCACCCTGTAACACATCGTTCGACCGATCCGTAGGTATACACCGATCGAACGTTATCGATCGATAAATCAATCCCTTTTGACGTGCCACGTTGTCAAGCCAGGAAGAAACATACGATTGTTCGTAACGAGCCGTTATTCTTCGATATCGAATAGAAGGAAAAAAGATGGAGGAATGTTACTAATCGCCGTAATAATTGTAATTGTAATGCTCGACGTTGGAAAAAAAAAAAAGAGAAACCGAGACGGACGACGGAAGCTTTTATTCCATTCGCAATCCCGCCGCCTCGTGTGTCCGACTACCCCGTTAACTGTAATTTACTATTACGATTATACGTTACGCTATACGCAAAATGGAGACAGAATTTTATTTACCAAATACGAGTTTTTTAATAAAACACTTTTTTGTGAAAGATACAAACCTGCCTCGGCTTGTTTATTTCTTTCTTTTTCAAGTCTCGACGTAGTATATCGCTTAGATAAAAATATATTATCACCTAATGAAAAAATCCGCAATTACCTTGTTGCCAACCCAATAGATACACTTACGTGACTGTTCAAAAGTCTTAGGATGATTATTACATTTAGCTTCGAAATTAAGGAACAGATATCACGTTATACGATAAAGAAAGTATGTTAGTATTCTAATACCTTATAGATTGAATTCAAATAACAATAAAAACAATTCCTAATCTATATCGTTCTGTCAAAAATACTAAATGTCCTAAGACTCTTACACAGAAGTGTACATATAGGCAACAAGTACGTGTATAATGAAACATATGATTGAGAATTCGTACGATCTATTAACACTCGCTATGATAACGCACTAATATCTGGAACCCTCGAAGATTTAAGAAACATTAGAAAATTGTGAGAATGGTGATGAAATTTATATTAATCTGCATAGCTAACGTTATTCTAAGATATACAAGCGGATGACAAAGACGCGTGTTTCTTCCCATAATTGATCGAATAGATAATTTCCATACAGAATTGATCGCTAATACGTACAACATTGATCTCAAAGTTGTTTTTCTCTTACGAAGGATGAGAAATACGACTTATCGAATCGTTCACGTACGTTTGAAAATTCTCGTGTATTTGAAAATCACACTGAATCTAAGCGGAGTATGTTGAAAATTCGAAGCCCTTCTATTGGTTCCAGCAATGGTTTTCGATCGCCTGCGAGATGAATGAGTTTTCAAAGTACAACTTAGAAAGCTACTGCGACCAAATATGGCGACATCTTCGACGACGAGATTCTTGGGAATCGTCGGCCCGCGGAACGGCAAACAGGTATATCCCGATTTCGTTCCTCGTTTTGCATCTCCCGCGTGTCTGTTGTGTTCGTTATGACGCTCGGTATATGTATGTACGTGCAACTGCAGCCCGTTCACCGAGAGACTGACCTCGATTCCACGTTTCAAGAACGTGCCTTTTCGCGTCACGACTCGGAATCGTCGCGACCTTTGCGATCCTTTTATTCCACGATGACGGTTTTACCAGCGGAGCCCCGCCGATCAAGACACGAATTCCAATCACGATCACCCTTTGATCGATTTTTACCTATCGATTCAACTGCTATAAGAAGGCTACTACGTTTCTGTGAAACAGGTAAGACAACGATGGAATCGAAGGCTTTGGCATTAAATTAACAGGCTGCCACATCGAACTGGTCACGTACAAATATTTTTCTCTTCGCTTGTGTTATTGTTCGAATACGAACATTTGCATTTTTGGGAAATTTCAACGTTTTCTTTATTCGTTTAAGCGTTTATATAGACGAATACTACGAAATTGGAATTATATACGAAAGGAAAAATTTCTAGTATTGAGACAATAAACACACTGTATAAGAAGAAGGTCCTTTATGGAAATAAAACGCTCAAACGTTCCACTGCAAAGAGCAGTTTTATTAATACTTGGTATTATCGTTCGTACGAGAAGTTATACACGCTTCGTTTAAATAAAAAAGAAGCTCTTTTGTTATAAAGTCTTTTGCCACTGATTATACATAAGACGACGTACGAGAAGATAAAGATATTCGTTAAAAGAAGAAACATTCGGAAAATACGTGCAAGAAAATTGGACGTTCCTGCACTTTTGTATAATTGGACCACGTAGGAAAGATTTTTACGCGACCTGCGTGGAATGCGTTAACAATAGGTTAAGGTGTATAGAGTTCTGACCACTTGCTGGACTTCGGAACACCGGAAAGTGCATCGATACAAGGAGATAACTGGTCGTTCGATGCGAGCTTCTTTGGATCGTTCTATCATGAGTTTCAACGGAAATTTAAGCGTCTTCAAGGAGATGGTTCGCGTCTCGCGACTGTTGTTCAGACTTAACCAGCGTAACGGGTTACAGCAAGATTGCTCCATTTTTCAAGCGAACAGCAAATCGAGTACAATTTTCAAAAAAAAAAAACATTCAC